CCCCCCCCCCCCCCATGGAGAATGGCAGACCTGTAGGCTGCATACAAAACAATCGGCGGCTTCCCGGCTGTACATTTAGCTCTGCTTGCCCAAAGCAGGGCTAAATGTAGAAAACAACTTACCGGCCGGCACCCGGACCTGCATGTCTTGGGACAGGAATTCCACACCCCTGCTGCCCCTCTACTCCCTGCTGCCCCGAGGCCAGGCCCTGGTTGGCCTTGTGGGAAATCCGGCCCTGCTCCTACCAGCTGCTGTGTCACTACTGTGCATTGTAGTGATGAAGGGGTCAGTGGGATAAATCCCAGAGTGCAGAGTGGAACAGAATAAACATTGTCAGGACAGGACCAGGTAAGAAAGAGGCAGGAGAGGCTCCTGCCTCATAGAGTGTGACCCAGCTGTCAGTTTGACAGCTGACGGCCAGGTCCCATTCAGTGGATCGGGGAACACTGACAGTATTGGCATTGACAGCAACTCATCTATGAAAGAAGCCCAAAAACACTATTTGCAGGCTACATTCACAAATACACTGTAATCATATTGTTACATTTTATTTTGGTTAGTGCTTATGTGAACTAAAAATTGTCCTTTGATCTGCACATAATGACAGTTCCAGAAGACCAGCTTTCATCTGTATTTTTTCTTTTTTAATAACTTGTCTTTAAATAAATCTTTAATAATATGTATATGTATATATATCTATACATATATAGATATATATACAGTATACATAATGCCGAGGTTACATAGAAACCTAATTGATATCCTTTATTTCAGCCTAGTTACTTAGAAGCCTAATGTATATCTTTATTTCTCAGGCTGGTGGTGTGGCCTCTGGTTTCACCCATGTGGTCACAAACGATCTCACCGCAAGAAGACTTCTACACATCAAAGGTCGGAGAGTGGTCCGGGCAACAGAGGTTCCTCTTGACTGGTCCAATTTCAACAGCGGCGACTGTTTCATCATCGATCTTGGATCTGTAAGTCAAGATAATGACAGTTGGTTCCATATAGGGGGTACTGCATTGTGTTTTTCTATCAATTTTCACTGAAAGTCAAAACTCCAAGCAAACTGGTAAAGTCTTATGTTGCGGCACAGATCCCTGACCTCCTCGTAGACTACACTGCAGTCAAACTTGTCATCAGGGAGACACAGGGGCTACCATTGCTGACCTAAAAGGCAAGGTCCACTTGTTACATAGTGCTCCCTCCTCCATAATAAAAAGAAATGCCGCTTTATTTGCTATAAGAACAGAACACCTGTGATACAAAAGATAGAAATGATTCTTACTTTACCCCGCACTGGAGAGGGTGGTGTCACAATGCTTCCAATGAGATCCTGGGAATGCTGAGTATCCCAAATTTCACAACAAGACACTCCAGCACAGTTCAGAAAGTTTGAGATCCTCAACGTTCTAAGGATCTTGTTGGAAGCATTGTGAAATCACTCACACCTAGGTTCTATGGGCAGAAGCCAGGGAAAAGTAATTATATTCTCAAACTTCTTTTTTTTTTACAGGCGATTCGTTTTTACAGCATTTTTGTTGATGGGAGGGGAGAGGAACTATGTAATAAGCACACCTCGCATTTTAGGACAAGGTCCGCTTTAAACAGATGTATTGGCTTTACTATTTATTGAGTCACCAACCTGGAGCAAGCATGCAGCTCAGGAAAGCCAGAGAAGTATCAAAAACCTTTATCTGGTTACTTGTTCTAGGTCAATGATTCAAAGTATTGAGGCAAGAAGGTCAGTAAGGCAGCCAAGCAACTAGCATTTTCATAAAAAACGGGATACCAAGTGCAACTTGCAAATTCCTTTTCAAGTAAATCCCAGGAAAACGATATATATGTTGCAAGGATTTTAGCAAACTTTGTTTCAAATTCATATTTTCCTCTGGCGCAATGGATGTTTGATCTACTCTGTGTCCTTTCTCACCCTCTGGTAGGGTCACACTTCCTCTCCCCTGCCCACTCTTACATTGAGAGCACTGTGAAAAGCAACTGTTCCTATTGACTCAGAGGGCTGACTCTCTTTCTGCTAGTCTGAGTACTGCTTTGCAAAGGGGTTGAAGGAGATTGATATCCAAACCGATTCACTTATGCTACCTATATGAGTTGAGCTTTAAGAAAAATGGCCAGAGCTATGCAAATGATTCCTTTGTAACAGTGACATGCGGTACATTCAGTTCTGGGTGAGGTATTCCCCAGCCTCGCCCCCATCCTGCCCAGCCCCGCCCCCTCCTGCCCAGCCCCCCCCCCAAGTACAACCCATATCCAAAGCACTCCGTCCATGACAGGTTACACAGCGGGGAGGCTTTCCATGCTCTGAAACCTGTTACAAGGCGATCTGAATGGAGAAAAAGCTGTCAGCTTCAGACCTGAAGCTGACAGCTTTTTCTTCCATAATACTAGGTGAGGCTCTGCCTCACCTGCCTCCTCTGACCGCACGTCCCTGCTTTGTAACCCCGGGCACAGCTGTGCACCCGGAACATTTGGTTTATAGCACCATGTAGTACAAACAGCAGTAACAGATGAGATAGTTTATTTGCACTACACTTACACATACACTGAGTACACATTGCAATGTTTACCTTAAAGCTCAAGTTTAATCTGTTTATATTGCCTTACCTGGTATTAAATAAAACCTTTTTTATACCTTATTTTAGACCCAGTGGTGTCATCACTGGGTCTCTGTTCCCTTCCATGCAATGTGGGCAGCTCTTGGCTGGTGGGAGAGGCTGGCAAGGTGCTTGTACACAGCACCCTACCTTAGTACTGCTCCCAAGAGCCCTCAGCCCTGTTATAAGCAATAGGCTGGATCCTTGGAGGAACTATGCAAATCTCCAAATGCCTTTTTTGGGTAGGTATCAGTCTGCGAAGTGGGCGTTCCTAGGTGGACTGCATTTGCACGTAAACATCAAAGAGGCGCAGGGGTTTCTGTGCTCACTCAGATTGTCAAGATGCAGGAAAGTTTGCAAATAAACTCACTGGCATTGGCAAGGCAGCTCCCAAACAAAGCAGGCCTCTCTTCTCGGGTGACCAGAAGTGACTCAATGTTTATAAATAAGGGGCACCAACCCAAAAGGTGAGAGAGTCCCAGTTCTCTCTTTGGACTACGGAACATCATATAGTCTACTCTGCACTGACCATCTGCTGTAGCATATCTGCAGTCTCTGACCATCTCCCATAACTTGTTCATAGTCGCTGACCATCCTTGTAATATGCCAATAGTCTCCGACCATCTCTTGTAATATGCCTATAGTCTCTGACCTTCTCTTGTAGCATGTTTGTAGTCTCTGGCTACTCCTGTAGGATGTCTGTTGTCTCTGACCAGCTCTTAATACATGCCCATAGTCTCTGATCATATCCTGTAGCATGTCTGTAGTCCCTGACCAGCTCTTAAAAACATGCCCATAGACTCTGACCATCTCCTGTAGGATGTCTGTAGTCTCTGACCAGCTCTTAAAACACACCCATAGTCCCTGACCATCTCCTGTTGCATGCCTGAGTCCCTGATAGCTTTCTGTGGCATTACACTCACTGAATATTATGTGCAGCCCTTTGGTAATGCCACAGGCTGCCCTTAAGGGCCCCTGTATCAAGAAAGTTGACCACCGCCGCTCTAGACCTAATCCTGTACGAACAAGGCCTTATTTTTCTTTGTAGGCTGGAATCTGGTTGATCCACCTCAACAATATTTCTTTTTTAGTCCTCATTGGATCATGATCAACAAACCTGACCTTGGATAGCTCTGACATTCTTCCTGGTTATGACTGCAATATAATATTTGAATAAGAATCAAGCACAATAAACAATGATGGGGGATTAAATGTAGTCCGAGCCACTATATAAGCTCTAAAACAATGGCACGGGATTGCTGAGGTCTTCCACTGTTTGGGTTACAGGTGTGGAGAGTCTAGAATATCCATTTATTTTTTAGTATTTTTGCTGGTAATATTCTCTGATGAGATCCCAAAACGTTCCATAATCCCGTCATAAATATGATAGGGCATTGCATTAACTGTTGCCTGTCTGCATGGGCTTTAGGCTATTAAAGAGGCTCAGAGTACAACCTTATGTAAATAGTTTGTACAGATCTGGGAAAATATAGAACAAAAACTTCCCACTTCAGCCATTATCATTACATGACCTCTTTCTGTTCCCTGAGGTACCAGTGGATTCAAACCTATGCCCCTGATGTGTTTTCCATTGAAATCAGTGGAAGCAAATTAAAACACGAGTCAGCAGGAGTGCACATTTGGGTTGCCACCTGGCCAGGATCCACCTGGACAGGCCGGGTTTTGAGTCCTGTATGTGCTGTGTCCGTGTTTTAGCTGGTGTCACAATGTCAGGCTGACAGGGGCAACTACGGGGTCTTAATGTTCCAACTTGAGTGCATGGAGGAGGCGCAGGACACGGAGGGATGCTGGAACTCAGGGAGCAGGAGGTGTCTGAAACACAGGGTGCAGATAAGTCTTGAAGGGCACAGAGGTTCTTCTTCAGGCAGATGTGTTCCTCACTATCTCTCCACACTCTGTTCCCTGGCTGTCTCTCCTTTCTCTCCCCTGGCTGTCTCTCCTCTCTCTCTCTCTCTCTCTCTCTCTTCGCTGTCTCTCCTTTCTCTCCCCTGGCTTTCTCTCCTCTCTCCCCCCTGGCTGTCTCTTCTCCCTCTCTCC